AGAAATTGATGGTCACCAAAAACAACCATATCTTAAAGTGCAAATGACAATTTCGCTAAAAATCCCAAATATATTTGGGAGAGAAAGATGCCTTCGCTTATCTCAAGAATCAGGCCAATCTATGGAGGATGAAAACACCATAGATAGTCTTAGATTTGATTTAAAAAGTGTGTGTTTTGCAGCACAAGAAGCCTTTGTCATTTGTCACATTGCTGTCAGTTCATTTAGGATCAGATCATCTGCACCGAGCACAAAACGCTCTGAAACAAAGAGAAACGAGGACAGCAGCAGCAGATAGAAAAGCTGCTGATGCACACAGATGTAACTGAGTGATGTGTTCAGGGTAAATTGGCCATCAGACTACTTCAAACTACATCAAACTCTCATGCAGGAGAACGTCGGGCAGATCCGCAGCTTTTCAACACACAATCTGCTCAGTGAGTCACTGCGGCTGTTTGACAATATTTAGATCTCTGTGTGTGCGTGTGTGTGTGTGTGTGTGTGTGTGTGTGTGTGTGTGTGTGTGTGTGTGTGTGTGTGTGTGTGTGTGTGTGTGTGTGTGTGTGTGTGTGTGTGTGTGTGTGTGTGTGTGTGTGTGTGTGTGTGTGTGTGTGTGTGAGAATGACTCAGGCTCATCTCTGCTATTCTCACATACTGTGCACAGGGTGAAACATAAGGGATGATACAGACAAAGATTTTACTCCGAGAGAAAAAATGCAACATATTTAATATATTAATTTGCAAGATCCATCCCATAATTGTTTTAAGAACCGCTCCTGATATATGGAAAGGGTAAATGGACTTTATGTTGATATAAAGAGCTTTGTCCATTCTTTACGACTCCATTCACACAACACAACTTTGCGGAAACATATTTTTGTATTCATGTATGTCTCAACTACTTCAATAAATTCAACTATATTTTAAATAATGCATTACCCACCCTAACATCTGTAGATTAAAATAGCAAACACAAATATCTGTACCTCCTTTGAATACGTGTTCCATCCAGAGGAACGTAGGGTTGAATGTAAAGCTGCTCTATCCTGGTGATTTTGTTAAAGTGTTTAATGCATTTTATTAGTCTCACTCTGCGCTCCCTTCTGTGTCCTGCAGGATGACGAGCTGCTCTGTGTGAACGATGACTGTGTGAACGATGACTCAGCTAATAGCAGCCATCAATAATTCAGACTCTAATCTGCGTCTGGAGGTCCGTCAGACGCCTTATATACCGACTCACCGATCACAGAAATGCACCGGTTTGTCTACAGTTTGTTCCCTCAGTCTGAGAAAAGATTTGTACCAACAAACCGACTCAACTCTGTGCCGAGGAGGCGGAGAAATTCAGTTCATAGAAAGAGCGATGGCTGAAATATCAGAGCATCCCGATTATATAGAAATATGATATTTATTAAAGTGATACTTCGACTTAAGAAGACAAATAAGAATACATTATTACACACTGATTTATGTTTAATTATGTTATTGAGATTGATTATTTAAAAAAAAAGGTTTTCTGTTCATTTTTCCACAAATATTAGAGCCATGGCCTGAATTTTCAAAATAAAAGTATACTGATTTCCTTGGAAAACACTTTTCTTCTCCTTACTTCCAATACAAATGAAGGTTTGACATTTTAACAATTGTACCAATTCTCTTAAAGGTCCCATGTCATGCTTTTCTGGTTATTACCCGTCCCCTTGTGTGCTACGAAGCTTTTTCTGCATGTAAACGGTCTGCAGAGTCACAAACCCTCAAAGTACACCCTGTAGCGAGTAAAACTCTAACACAGAAAAGACCTGTCTATGCTGCCCCAGAACGCCTCGTTGGACATTTCTCTTTTTCTTCCTGGGTACAGTACACGTGACCATACCCAAATGGACCCATTGGTCGCCGCGTTTCGGGGTGCGTCCATTCGCGATGTCTCGCTGTCTCGCAGACCCCACGCAGCAAGCAGGAAATGAACCCAGCTCACACTGTCCGCTCCTCACACTGTCCGCTCCTCACACTGTCCGCTCCTCACACTGTCCGCTCCTCACACTGTCCGCTCCTCACAGCAGCGAGCCGCGCAACGTCCCGCCAACACGGCACCCAGACCCCACGCAGCATTCTCATCTGTTTGTCATTACTGGTGTCATTTCCTGGTTGCTAACAAACGCCATTATAACACATAATCACTGATGTTCCGCTTTAACGGTGGTGGACTCATCAGAACAGAGTGGGCGAGCTGACCAATCAGAGCACAGTGGGCTCACAGGGAGGGGGGGGGGGGGTAGGAGCTCCAACAAGCCGTTTAGGACAGAGAGTGAATACACATACTATACAGAGATGCTGTATGAGAAACCAATGTGAGTTTGGAAAATTGCACAATGTAAATCTATTCTAGTAGACCTCAACAATGGAATTATGATCAGTGGAAATGGCCATGACATGGGACCTTTAAGCAAAGACCTCATTCCCCAAACTGATGCAAGCTTTTGATTTTCTTCCAACAAATGGAGTCAACTCTGTGCTCAGGAGTCAGACAAATACAATTTAAAGAAAGCGCAGAGGTTAGAAAGCATCCCGATTATATAGAAATATAATATTATAAAAACATGTTAATGGTACTTAAGAAGCCCCATTAGAAGAGAGGACACACTCTGATTTGTGGATGGTTATGTTGTCGTGATACATTATCTTTAAAAAAAAGTTATGTTTCTTTCTGATCAGGGTAACAACATATCAGTCATCGCCTGCATTTCAAAATAAAAGCACCGATTACTGTGGAAGTCCATCCTGATTCAACGAAAGGTTATACATAATTAAAAAATCCTTCATTTTTTAAATAAAGTCCTCAGTTTCCAGACATATTAGGTATTCAAAAAGTAACACGATTTGACATCCAGCTCCACTGTTTCCTCCCTTTTTTAAAACCATTATGTGTGATGGAGTTTAGCTTTTACAGAAACGCAGGATGTGAGTTTGATGTTCAATTCAAAGAGTGTTTCTCTGACAGCTCATCCTCCGTCAGATAATCTCTCAGACCTCGCTGCGGCTTACTCAACACTTCCTCCAGACACACCGACCGATGGAGCACGGCACAAATTGGCACACATCCGAAGATAGACACTACCTCTCAGGTTTGGCTGATAACCAGAGGACAACTCTCGTCCTGTAACTCATTTCTGTGATGACATTAGAGGTGTCCTTTCCGCTGACAGGACTAATGCCATTACATATCTTCATCGTGCTCAGACAAATCCAATGAACACCTTCACTTCTCATTTATTCTCTTCTCTACATGCCCCGGGAGGGAAACCTGGACTCATTACAGAGGAGAAACCTGAAGAACACCAAACTCACATCGACTAAAAAAAAAACTTTCTCTGCATCATCAAGTGCCAAACGAGCCGTGAATAAAACAAACACCAAGCAGTGTGGGACCAAAATGGAAATGTCATTATTCCCTCAAACCTCCTAACATCCCTAACAAAGTGGTTCACTTGTTTTTAAGTGGAATATGGTTTACGTTTGTTCTGTAAGTTAGAAGTTAGGTCAAGAAAGACTTAAGGTTTTGCTTTTCCACTTCACTGACAGGAAACACATGTCGTAGCTTTGGTGAGGACAAGACTGCAGATTTCTAGAGGATAATAATATGAACTATTACATTCTTAATATCAATGAATCTGTCAATTGATATTTCATTCAATTAGAAAGTTCTTCAGCCAATACATTTGTCAGAAAGCAGTAAAATAAAATCAGGCCATAGTGACGTCTTTTTGTTTTGTTTGACCAATAATCAAAAAACCCAAAGGCAACTTAATTTATACTTACATTTGCACTTAGAGTAAAACTCAAAGAAAGAGAAGCTGCACATTCTTAGATTTAAGAAGCTGGAAGAAGCAGGTATTTTACATTGTTGTTTGATAACATAGATATGCTTTATCAAAATTGTTCTGGATTCATTTTTAAGGAAGACTGATATAATCCATTTCTGTACTCGACTAATCCCTTCAACTGTATTGCTAAAAACAATAATGGGACATAAATAAAGCAAATGAGAAAAGAACATAACTTCAAATCACAAAGACTTTCCTGCATTATTAATATCATTAGGCTCCTTAGTCATGAAACGACTTTTCACATCTGCAAACCACAGCCTCATGCATGAGAGTTGCTCACCACACCACTAACCAAAGAGAACAAACACCACCATGCAGAGGTGGGAAGTAGTGGAGTACAAATACTTCGTTACTGTACTTAAGTACATGTTTCTGGTATCAGTACTTTACTCCACTACTTATTTTTCTGATTACTTTTTACTTTGACTTCTTACATTTTGAACCCAAATACCTGTACTTTCTACTTCTTACATTTTGAACCCAAATACCTGTACTTTCTACTTCTAACATGTTGAACACAAATACCTGTACTTTCTACTTCTTACATGTTGAACACAAATACCTGTACTTTCTACTTCTTACATGTTGAACACAAATACCTGTACTTTCTACTTCTTACATGTTGAACCCAAATACCTGTACTTTCTACTTCTTACATTTCCCAAACAGGCTGGTTCCTTTAGTTTGAATGTGTGCTTGGTGGCGTGATCATTATTATTTAGAGTCATTGCGTGCCTATTGATTTGAACACGATCCGTGTATCCATCATTTCCTGGTCTTCTCTAAAGAAGAGGGACCAATGAAAACGTTGTCATGTTGCCGTTGTTCAGCATGGAAACATTCATTAGCTAACAATGACATTATTGTTCTATTAATATAAAGGGAGGTCAGGTACTCTTTAAAACAGCTGCTAGTTATGGGTACTTTTTACTGAAGTACATTTCAAAGCCCATACCTTTACTTGAGTAAAGAAGTTTAGTCAGTACTTCTACTTTTACCAGAGTATTTTTAAACATGAGTATCTGTACTTCTACTTGAGTAAAGGATGTGTGTACTTGTTCCCTCTCTGCACCACACCACTAACCAAAGATAAACCACCACCATGACAGCTCCTACCTGCAGGCCCTCAATGGCGAGCCGCAGCATGCTGGGCGTCAGCTTGGACGCCTGCTTGAAGGTGAAGTTGCTCCAGTCGATGATGAGGATGAAGCCGTTCACCTGCAGCTCCGGGTCCTCGATCATCGACTCCAGCGACAGCAGGATGGCTCTCAGGATGTCCACAAAGGTGTACCTGAGGGAGGAGAGCAGCAGGGCTCGTTTATAAGGACAATATAAAGGCTCTGAAGCACAGACAAGTTATTAAAACTACCGTCACGGTTTTCAAAACTGATCGGGACAAGAGTCGGATTATAAAATATACGCTTTTTTTTGTAATGGTCTTCAACATGCAATTGTAGGAAATGTAATATGTGTATGAGGTAGATAATGATGTATGGTCTAGAAATGCACCAGCTCGCAGGCTAGCAGTTATACTTTATATACATTACATCACATTACATGTTACTTGTTAGACGCTTTTATCCAAAGCGACTTACATACTCAATACTGTGGACAATCCCCACAGGAGCAATTTGGGGTGAAGTGTCTCAGGGACACAACGACATGCTGACTGCAGTGGGGTTTGCCCCCCTGATCCGAACACCAACGCACAACCCACTGCGCCACACGCCTCTATACTGCATCATTAACAGAGTGAGAATAGAAATCTTGAATTTGTTAAACGTACTAATCGTGGAATATTATGTAATTTAAGGCAATGCAACATTGTTCTACATTGACAATACATTGTCTGCTGTCCTACTGTTCAAACAAACCTTTCTCAAAGCGTTCTCATTATTTAGTTGACATGTCTCGTGCAAGCTATTTAGAATAACATTTGTACCTAATTACAACTTTTTAAAAGTGTTTGCTTTCCGGCGCCCCCAGTGTAAATGACACCTATGCATGATGGTTTGGTTGTACTGCGTGGAGTCAGTAATAATCAACCTTACCTTAGCATTAGTTGTTATGCTCAACAAACTTCCAGAAACCTGAGGTCTTCACCAACGCTGAGTTCTTGTTTAGCACCTACCGTATTTACAATGTTGTTGTTAAACTATTCTGTATCTCTTTTATGCATGTTTTTCATGAATCTGTTGTTCCATGATGTTTATTTATTGTGCTCCTTTCTGTTGTCTTCTTAGTGTTAATGATGATGTAAAGCACTTTGAATTGCCTCTCTGTCTGAAAATGTGCTTTATAAATAAACGTACCGTACCTTATCAATATGTATGTATTTCTTCCCCACAGCCCGAGTTATTAAGATTAAAGGGTTGGGACGGAAAACAATCATTTACACTGATCAAAGCTTTATGAATAAGTCATATTATTGCGAATGCTGAAATGAAATGTATAATGTATAACCTAAAGTATCTATACATGCTGGTCTGAGACTCTTTCAGCTTCTTTCCAGTTTACATATTAAGACGATAGTGTTGCAGATTTGTGGCAACAGTAAGATGAAATCGTCCTTCTTGTTTTATCATAACAATGCCCCTGTGCACAAACTGCAATATCCATACAAGTAATGCATTTCATAAGTTTATTTTATATTCTGTTGTACTTTCCATATACAGCATTTATGGTAAGGTCTGTCAAGCCTGGAAGAAGGATGTCTCCTCTTGTTGCCCCCCCTTTTCTCCCCTATACAGTCAATGTTGGTAGTTTGTCATCATCTGAATGAATGCTCATAGAACGGTGGTGTCAAAAGTTGTTGGGCAAATATTGTTGGGTTATAATCGACTTGAATTTTCCTATTTTGGTTTGCAGAGCGCTGACCTTTATCCAACACCTCTGGGATGAATGTCCCGTTATTTTTCCACAACTGAATAAATCTCATTTAATGTTCCCATGTGTGTTTTGTGTGTGGGTGTGCACTGTCTTTCTAGAACTTATTAAAGAAGAAGAATGGGTTTGTTTGTTGGCGTTTTGTGATAAATGTTGTGGTGCTGAACGGACAGCTCCATTAACCATCCTGCACTTCTTTGGATTTTAAAACACTGCCCCCCCCCCCTCTCTGTGTTCCTCTTTATATCTCAGATCAGATAACTTACACTCAGTCTCTTTATCAATAGTGGAATAAGTATTCAGATCCTGAGTAAAAGTACCAATACATAATGTCAAAATACACTTGAAGTAAAAGTCCTGCTTTAGTTAAGTAAGTATAACAAGTACTCACTCTGCCTCCAAATGGGCATAATTACATTTATTTTGTTGTTACTTTCGTAGACACAGGTATTTTTGCACAAATGATTCACCACTTTCTTAACTTTTTATAATATATTTCATTATTTTACCTTTTTTTATTTACCTTCAGCAGTGGTTCAATCTTTATATCTTAAGTTAATCACGTTTCCTTAATGCTAAATATGAATCCGAAAAGTAACTAGTGCTTTAAAGTATCTGCAGTGGAGGTTTAAAGTAGCATACATGTAAATACTCGTGAAAAATACAAGTATAAGACTGTTAAACACCTGCACTTTTGAAAGAACATCCATAACATTAATCTGTTTGCAACTTATATATCAATATTCCAATTACTTGTAGACTATTCTGCACAATTTCTACTATAGTCCATTTTATTTGTATTGACTTGCACATTTATCTGTTTCATTGTGTTGCTCTGTTAGAGGAGCCTGTGACCAAAGATTGCCATTGTCCACTACACTGTAGCTAATGTATGCACACATGACAATAAAAGCCTTGCATCTTGAAAAAATACGTTAACGTTTAACGATCGTTTTAAAAGTCAAAAATACTAAACATGTCGAGAATTGTACCCACTACTTCCAACCTCTGATCATGATGAAATGTCTTTAAAGTACCGCAAGAAATATCTGACAAATGTACTTTCTTACCTGCTCTGGTCCCAGTTGGCAGCGAACAGAACCAGAATCTTCCTCCCGTACCGGTCCAGGTTGGACAGCACCCCGGGGAACCCGTCCTTCAGGGCCTGCTTGATGCCCGGATCTGTCGCCTTCAGGTTCTTGAACATGTCCAGGTTCTGCTGCCGGTACTCGAAGTACTGAGCCAGCAGCCGAAACGCCTCGAAGTGGTTGAATTTCCTGGCGCGGAGGAACCTGAGGATGAACGCGTCGTCCGTCCGGAGGAACCCGATGTCTGGCCGGGTGATGATCATGTCCCGGACCTCCTGGATGTCCTGGTGGAGGGTCTCCGGGTTCTCCTTCAACTCCACCTTCGCCTTCTCCAGGGTCTCCGCAGAGAGGCCAGCCTGTAAGTGAGTCATCTTTGTGGCAACAGCTGGGTGAAACACCAGAATAAAAAAGCAGCAACAGTTTCCTTCTTCTTCTCCTTCTTCTTCTTCTTCTTTCTGGCTTCAGATGGAGGCCTGCTGCTCTGTAATCCACCCTGAACTCATATGATGCATTCTCACTTTTACGCACAGGGATTTTTTGTATTCCACCTTTTCCAAAGATCTGTATTGTTTTGATCCAGCATGCATATCATGACTCCTGCAGCTTCAGGCGGAGCATCCGACCTGCTGATCGGGGCGGCCTGATCTCACACCGCCCTCCTCCTCCATCACTCTGTCTCTCTATGTCTCTCTGTGGCAAAATGACGACGACAGCATCACCGTCTCCACCGGCGTCGCTCGCGGCGGCCAGGAAATGCGGCACCAGCCTGTTAAATCACCTGCTAAATGTCCACCATGCAGTCTGAGATCACCGACACCACCATGCCTCCGCCTTCATCTCCATCTCCATCCGCCGACTGATGCTGATGCTCCGAAACCGTCAAAAAATGATCTGCTTCTCTCCGCGTCTCCCCAGCAACATGCACAATGTATAGGTGTGATTTCAGATTAAAAACCACCGGGATTTTTTTTTTTTGCATCCAGCAGCACAGGTGTCCCGCGAGGTTTAGCCACCGGTTTCTGGTTTTTTTTGAAAAAAAAAAGAGAGAGGTGGGGTGGAGTCAAATGGGTGGAGGCGGGAGGGAGGGGGGGATTACCGTCTCCAGTCCGCCGTCTGCTCGCAGGGAAAGTGACTGACAACAAGGGAGGGGGGGAAGGGAGGGAGGAAGAGGAGGAGGAGGAGGAGGGGGTGTGTAAAGAGATGAAAAGGCAACAGATACGGAGGAAGGGTTGCAGGAAGAGAGGGTGAGGTGCTGGATAGATGGAGCTAAAAAAAGAAGAAAGTGGAGGAAGGATGCTGAAAAGAGGATAGACAGATGTGAAGAAGAGGAGGGGGTTTAAGATGAAGGGTGGAGGGATGAAGATGGGGGAGGAATGGATGCCTGAGGCTAAATAAGGGGCCTCAATTTCACCCTTTTCCTTCATCCATTCTCCCTTAAAGGGACCATATGTTCGCAGGTTTTTAAGCTTTTAAATCATGCACACATTTTTGAATGACCTTTTTAAACGGTATGCATTGGTGGATTGTGTGAAAATGGGCCCCTGGGCATCAACATGCAAAAGGCCTCTCACCACCTCTACTTCATAAGAGCAATACACTTTATTTTGTTGTTGATGTCGTGAGTCTCTTTATGGTTTTTTTCTTTCTCTTTCTGCTTCTTTGAGGTCATTATGAGTCTCTTCCTTGTTGGTACGCGTCTCTCCCAAAGTGGCATTTGAAGGTGAACTTCAGACACTTTAGGGCCCTGTTCATCTTCTCTTGAGGCTTCTTGAGTTGTCCTTTTATTGTTGGATTAAGGTGTTTTTGTAGTCTGATATTTCTTCAGTAAGTAAGGGAATATGGACATAATGAAGACATCCTTTACTCTTAATTAGAACATATATGATCTGTAATTGACTGTCGGAACATTACAACAGATTTGAAGGTCAAAAGACATTTAGATTAAAACATATTTTAGATGTGTGGGATTTAAGAAGCACTATAATGCTCATTTTAATTTCAGTATCTAGTGTCTCTACTTTAAAGAGTCCTCTCCTGCTGATGTTCAGTATGTAGTGTCTTTACTTTAAAGAGTCCTCTCCTGCTGATGTTCAGGTGTATATCAGTATGTAGTGTCTCTACTTTAAAGAGTCCTCTCCTGCTGATGTTCAGGTGTATATCAGTATGTAGTGTCTCTACTTTAAAGAGTCCTCTCCTGCTGATGTTCAGGTGTATATCAGTATGTAGTGTCTCTACTTTAAAGAGTCCTCTCCTGCTGATGTTCAGGTGTATATCAGTATGTAGTGTCTCTACTTTAAAGAGTCCCGCCCCTTAGCCTATCACCTATGTAATGTGTTGGAGCGCTAGCCAATAGAAGCGAGTGTTTCATAGTGATGTCACTACTTTTACAGAAGTAAACAAAGGAGTCCAATGGAGGCGAACACAGGGATTTTAGCCTTTGCAGACCATTCACATGCATTAAAACCTATAGAACACAGTGAAAACCAAAGAAAGCATAGTAGGGCCTCTTTACTTGTGCTTAGTTTTCTTTATTAGTCATATCTCTTTTGTTCTTTAACAGATATTAAATGTACACATTTAACAGCCTCATTAACCTGAATGTGTCTCTTGCAGACAAGATTTGGCTTTTTGTCTTTCATCTTTTTAGCACATGCTCTTAGGGTCAATGTTCAATGGTCAAGTCTATGTTTTTGCTTGGTTTCAAAGTCTTCCTCTGGGTGGAGACGGGGGGACAAAGTAACAAAAGACATGTTGGAGGGATGTGGTGAAAGAGGAGGTGGGAGTATATCTGCAGAGACGGACCCTCACCCTGAGTTAACTGAGTGAGATCATAATTCTTACAACAAAACGGTGCAACACTTACTCTGAGGATTTATTACAGGCAGTCAGATAAAGTGCAGCTACATGGATGAATGGGTGGAGGCGGGTGGGGGGGGGGGGGGACAGACAGCTGCACTTAAACATGCTGAATTAATTTCCTTTGTCCACGCCTCCTCTTATCTCCCTGCAGCTTCACTGGGTCTGTGTGCATTCACTGCAGTTTCATTCATCAATACAGTCCAACTGGAAACACAAATATTCATTATTTTATAAAAGTACCAAAAAAAATGGAGAAATATTTCCTGCATAGACTCTTAATGCTTTATTAACTTTTATTTAGTTACTGCTGAAACCTTTTCTACTTTGTTTTTATTTCAAGATAAATCATGTTGTCCATACATTTTTCTTATAAAATCACCATTATAATTAAAGGGGACCTATCATGCAAAATGTACTTTTTGATGTCTTTTATACATAAACATGTGTCCCCGGTGTGTCAGGGAACTCACGCAGCGTCAGAAAATAAAACCCTCTCTCTTTTCCTCCGTACCCAAATCTCTAAAAACGGGGCTACAACGGAGCTGATCCAGATTTGCGTCCGATATGACGTAATATCTGAAAAGTGGACCCACGGCCCAATCAGAAACGTTGCTATCAGAAACAATGCCCGACTGTTTTGAACGTAATATGGTCGGTGTTTACATTAGCATCGCTAACACTCAGAGCTAACCTGTACTGGAGAGCATGTGTGTGAAGAAGCAGGAAATAAAAAGGAACTCACCTTGTGGTATAACCGGCAAGAGAGAAAGCCTTTGAGCTCCATACTGTTTCAGAAACAATCCTTGATAATCCATGATATGGCGTTTCATCACCGCAGTATTTAGTTTAGACGGTAGCTGCCGGGTCCCGCATGAGCTCAGCCCCCTACTTTTTTATTTTTATCAATTCTTATTTTTTTTAAGCTTTATACCCAAATCAGCACTTTTGAAACAGGAAGTGAAATAGAGGGATATGAGGCATGGCTAGAATGGTTGATCTGTTTGGTATTTTGAGCAAACACATCTAGGCTGGGTATTATATTTTTAAAGTTGTTTTAAATACTAAAACATGTTCAATATTACAAATAAAGCCACCCATTCACTTTGTGTCTGTTGCTTTGTCAGAGGGGGTGGGGTATGGGGCGAATCCTGAATAAAAGGGGGAGTAACAGGGTCCCAGGGGAGATTTGAGAGGGGGGGGGTCACATGAATTGCCCTCAGCTCTGATGGGCTTCAGTATGCAGGGAATAAATAAATGGTGGACCTGCAGCTGTCATCTTCTGCAGAGCGTCTCTGATTTATTCTCTGAGGGCTGAAGACTGATTAAGTCAGAGTCAGAGGATCTAAAGAGGCTCTGCTGATTCTGCAGCTCAACAACAACTGACCTGTTTCTCCAACATGTGGAATAAATGTTTGAGAGAAAAGGCCTCCATGTACTGCTATAGCTACATTACTCTTATACATGATCAGAGGTGGGAAGTAGTGGAGTACAAATACTTTGTTACTGTATGTTACGTGCCTCAGTTGGTGCTTGTGTGTGCATTTGTGTGTGTCTCTCTCTCCCTGATTGTCCCCAGGTGCAGCCTCTCCCCCAGGTGCTCCCAATCCCCAATCAGGGCCTCCATATAGGACCTGAGGAAGGCTGCAGTCGCTCTCTCCTTCTCCTCTGGCTGCATGTGTGCAGCATGTCTCTGTCTCTGTGTGAGGCCTGTGTTTTTGTGTAGTGTTAGGAGATGTGCTCCAGTTTGTTCATGTATGGTGTGTTTTGGTTTGCTTTGCAAGTTGGCTGGTGAGCCCTTTTTTTATCCATTAAAACCTCACTTTGTGGCTTTATAGCTCAGTTTCCTCTCCTTTTTTCTCTCTCCCGGTTATTTCATATGTTGTTACTTCCCTCTGGTTCCCCTAGCCCAGTAGGGAACGTAACACTGTACATTTCTCTGGTATCAGTACTTTACTCCACTACTTATTTTTCTGACGACTTCTTACTTTGACTTCTTACATGTTGAACACAAATACCTGTACTTTCTACTTCTTACATTTTCAACCCACATACCTGTACTTTCTACTTCTTACATTTTGAACACAAATACCTGTACTTTCTACTTCTTACATTTTGAACACAAATACCTGTACTTTCTACTTCTTACATTTTGAACACAAATACCTGTACTTTCTACTTCTTACATTTTGAACACAAATACCTGTACTTTCTACTTCTTACATGTTGAACACAAATACCTGTACTTTCTACTTCTCACATTTTCCAAACAGGCTGGTTCCTTTAGTTTGAATGTGTGTTTGGTGGCGTGATCATTATTATTTAGAGTCATTGCGTGCCTATTGATTTGAACACGATCCGTGTATCCATCATTTCCTGGTCTTCTCTAAAGAAGAGGGACCAATGAAAACGTTGTCATGTTGCCGTTGTTCAGCATGGAAACATTCATTAGCTAACAATGACATTATTGTTCTATTAATATAAAGGGAGGTCAGGTACTCTTTAAAACAGCTGCTAGTTATGGGTACTTTTTACTTAAGTACATTTCAAAGCCCTCTTTACTTTTACTTGAGTAAAGATGTTTAGTCAATACTTCTACTTTCACCAGAGTATCTTTAAACACGAGTATCTGTACTTCTACTTGAGTAAAGGATGTGTACTTTTGCCCTCTCTGGATAATATGCAGACACGTCTCTGCAGAGAAAGAACCAAAACCTGAACCTGACCTTCTTCCACTCTGAAGGTCTGTGACGCCCTCTGTTGGTCAACGTGGTGTTCATGCAGTTTACTTCCTAAATCTGTCGAGACGGCAACACAGATTCAAGGTTCAAGGTTCAAGGCTTTTATTGTAATGTGTGCATAGCTACAGTTTAGTTATGACAATGAAAATCTGAGGTCACAGGCTCCTCCAACAGTGCAACACAATAAAACAGATAATAGTGCAAGTAAATCAAATAAAATAGAATATAATAGAAATTGTGCAGAATAGTCTATACAAGTAATTGTAATATTGATATATATACGTTGCAAACAGATGAATGTTATGGATGTTCTTTCAAAAGTTCAGGTGTTTAACAGTCTTATGATGAGATCTTATGATGATATTTAGTTAGGTTTGTTT